TCTTTCTGAACTCTTCCCTCAAAAATTATCTTTCCCTTGCATCTCTTCCATATTACTTCATCTGCATCTCTCCTATGAAAGGCATATTTTAAACATGATTTTTACCTTTATTGGTAGGCATATCTTTTTGCCTTTGATAGACTACAATTTATAAAACTGTGAGAACAGGTAAGCCCTACAGAGTACACCAAGGTGTCTGACACTTCGAAGACATTTAATAAGTAACTTTATGAGGGTTACTAAGGCCTGATGCTAGTATTGTTGCTATTAAACTTTCATATAGGCTTATTAGCTCCATCAATATGGACCCTTTCAATAGATGCTGAGTAGAACACTGAAAATTGTGTGCTACAAAATGTTTAAAATAATAAAAAGGAACTTCTCTAGTCAAGCACTGCTGATGAATGCTTGGTGTCTTAACAATAATAGTCCCTTAACACACTCCTGTGGTAAAAAGTAAAAATCAGCCACATAGGAGGAAATTAATCTATGACACATTTTACGGCTAAGTGAAATAAATCAGAGAGAGAAAGACAAATACTATACGATCTTACATGTGGAATCTAAAAAACCCAAACTCATAGAGACAGAGAAGAGATTGGAGGTTGCCAGGGGCAGGAGGATGGGAGTGAGGGAAATGGGTGAAGGTGGCCAAAAGGTACAAACTTCCATTTATAAGATGAGTAAGTTCTGGAGATAATGTACAGCAATGGTGACTATAGTTAACAATACTATGTCATATATTTGAAAGTTGCTAAGAGAATAGACCTTAAAAGTTCTCACCACAAAAAAATTTTTTAACTTTGCGAGGTGATACTTGTGTTAACTAAGCTTATCGTGTTAATCATTTTGCACTATATACCTATATCAAACCATTACATTTGTATCTTAAACTTATACAATTTTATAAGTCAATTATATCTCAATAAAGCTGGGGGAAAATAAAGCAAAACATTTTATTATTTACATGAAATGTTCTTTTCTACTTAATTAAATATAATTTTTTTTCAGTTCCTTTACACAGGCCTCTTGAGGATAGCTGTTTTCCTAACAGCAAGAGCAAGCTAACTAGAAATCAGCAGATGTGACTAACTCCCTAACTGATCCTTCTCAACTGTCCTTTGCTGTCAATTTTAGTCTGTTACTGTTTTTTTCTGCAAATTTCAACTGCCTTTTCTCCATTACCAATTTCATTTTCCATTTTTGACCTCTGATGAGCCTCTAAGAACTAATATTTTTCACTTTGCCTGTAGAAGGACCATAGTGTAAGATACACCATCTTTTTGAATGCCAACCCCCAACTCAGATATCTGTACAGTTTACAGAAAAAAAAATGGAACATTTTCTACTCTGTGGCTATGTCTTTGCAGCAGAGATATACCTGTATTTGTCCTATTATTATTATTCTTTTCTGACAAAAGGCAGAGTTTTAGTTCATGGGACAAGCACTGGTTTAGGATTTGCTACTTTTTCAACAACCTTGAACAAATGGTGTCTACCACATCCTGAGCATTGCTGTGGAGATTCAGCAATTATAAAACAGATAAAAAGTCTTGCTTTCATGGTTCTTATATTCTAGACAGATAGAACAAAATATAATAGGTTGCATGGTGATAGGTGCTCTGGAAAAAAAAATTAGGCTAGAGAATTGGGAACGCCTAGGGGGTGCTTGCAATTTTAAAAACGGTTTTCAGAGAAGCTGTCATGGTGAAGGTGGTGACATCTGAGTAAAGACTTGATGGAAATGAGGGAGAAAGCCATTTGGATATCTGGGGCAAGGACTTTTCAAGCAGAGGGAACACCTAGTGCAAAGGTGCACGTAGGCTGTCACAAGCAGTAAGGAGTTTCACTGTAAGCATCTGCCAGGGACAAAAATTCAGGCAAGGCTTTTTTTGTTGTTGCTATAAAGAATCCACCTACATGAGCGCTTAATCAGCTTAAGATGAACATCAGTGCAGATCTGGTTAGTGTTCTCTCTCAGCCATGACCTCATTGCTAATACTGACAGCCTGGACTGCCTCTTAGACTTGGATGGGCTTTGGAGGAACAACAGCCTGGCAAACCTGGATGAAACTAGAAAAAGGTTTGAGTAGCTCTGTAGGCCTGATGGTTCCTCATCTCATTCTCTATCCACATGGGGCTGCATATTAATCATAGGTAGCCAACGATTATTCCAAGTTTTCATTTAAACCTAAAATATAGTCCATTACCATATGTGAACTAAGAAGTATGTATAATTCTACCTCAGATTAGCTAATGGTGGATTCTTGTCCCACAGACAGACAAGAGATAGGGCTACTGAGAACAAAGGTATTTCCTGTGCCGCCAAATTGTGCTTTCAATGTTGTCTTCTAGTCAGGACAACACAGTGAAGAGATCATTATTAACATTAAATCTTATGTAGAATTTCCAGAGATTGTTACACTTATATTCAACAGAGATA